ATGAGTCATGCTGTAAGGCTCATACAAACCGAGACTTTCTTATTTTCAAGGGCATTACCCCCAAAAAGCTAAAAATATCCTAATGCTGTCTCCTGTTGGCCTATATGTGTCTAGCAATTGATTATCATACAAGTATTAATGAAAAATAGAAACGCTAGTCTTACTGCTACACTGTGGTATTATTAGTAGCCAATACTCATTTTTAAACACTGTTTAATTCTTTGTCATATAAACGCAATATATGTTTTCCTTCAAAGTAAGAATTAAGAGATATATAATTTGTCCCAGCTCTGAGTCTCATTCACCTGCAGTTTTCCTCTTAGGGTGAAAGCATAAAATCCACCATTGAGAGGGTATCTTCTGTAGCCTGAGAGGCCAAACACAGGGAAAACATGGCAATATATTGAAGAATTGTGTGCTTTTGACAACAACATTTAAACATATTTTATTATCTTATCTTTTATATTATATTTTATTTTGACAAAGTTAGAACTAATCTTACAACTAAATAGGAAAAGAAAATGTTCATAATCATAATCATTATCTCTTCTGTTTTAAAGGGAAGTTAACCTACACTCTACCAAAACTCTTTATTTGAAGACATAAGAGACAGTGGCTAGAAACACAGTAATTATCTTTGGTACACATCAAAGTGGGATATAACCTTTTCAAGCATACACATGCGACCACGACAGCAGGAATGAAAAGAAGACATTAATGAAGACCTGACTGAGGAGCTGCAGGCTATTAAGAAAAAGGCAGAGATTGCGCTGAGCAATTGAAGTCATGCCTCAATGAATCTCCACAGGACACTTAGCAGAGCACGGATAGATTCCTGCTTCTCGTCAGCAAAGGCAGTCACAAAGCAAAGATCAATAGAAGAGAGTAAAACAAATCCCTGGGCAACAGAGTCAGAGAGATTTGTTAAAAGCTTGTGCTGAGAGTCAAGCGTGGGTCAACAGCATTTTATTACTAGAGGTCATGTCAGTTTGACTCTAAGGCCTTTCCTATTAACTTTCAATTTAGAGTGTGTATAAATCAAAGACAAAGGATTTATCATGTACATTTTTCAATATAAAGGCTGTTAACTAACAGTTAAAGATTGGGTTATTTGTTTCATAGTTTCTAAAAAATAACAATTTTTCCTTCTTTGACATTTGCATCTACCAATCTCAGTTTCCTTTATATGGATTTCTCTGCTTTATATTTTTCTGACATTTGCAGCATTTTTCCATATTCTCCATATAGACCAATTCTTACCCTGGTGGTCACACATAATACCAAAACTAATAGCTAGGCTTTCAATAAAGTTATGTTTTCAGCCTGGGTTGTCTGTCTGTTCATCTGTTTGTTTTACAGTAAAACAGCTTGCCTGATTAACATGAAACTATCAATAAGCGAATAACTTACCAAGAAAACACCCAATACATTTAGGAGCAGATTCAAATTACATAGCAGACGCTAACATTACTTTTAATATTTCTCGTCTTGGTTGTCGAGAACACCCCTAATAAATGTGTCCTCTAGATTCCGGCCTCTCCTGACTGTCTTTCTTTATCTGTTCTTGAATGTACTTTAGTTATCAATAATAATATTGCAGCGAGAAATGGAGATCAAGCTTAAGGGTCTCCAACACACTGAACAGTGTTTACATAAAATATTACTATAAATACATCTAGTAGCTCTAAAGAACATGCACTCAACAATGCTCTTCCATTGGTTTTTCAAAAATACACTCGCCAAGTAGGAAGTCAATTGGATGAAGAGTTGATGGGAAATTCCAAGGATAAACATACTGAATGTCAAAACACACGGCTGCCCTTGAGGCACATCACAACAGTTATCTATTATTTTACACATTTGTTACACACTCTGCTCCTGTGGCAGCTCTATCCTCTGCTCTCCTCTTGCTGTGTCTCTCATGTTTGACAAAGAATGTATGAGGAGATGCTGGTTGTTGAGGTGGAAACAAATCCCAAACTATATGAACCAGAGTCCCTTGTTAGGCTCGTTTTCTGTAACCAGTGTCATGCAAGCGACCATCAATGTTGACTTATCTAAGTTAGTCCTATTCCAAGATTTCCCATGCTGATGCACTTGTTTTTTTAATTCAAGCTGTATATTGTTTTCTTATCAGTGATCATTAAACCGTACAGAGTTTTGAAAAATAACAATTGCTGCAAATGCCGATTTGTCTTACATATAAATTATACTGGGGACACGTTTTTTTGAACAGAAAGAAGAAAAAAAATCTGACCAGAGATCGCTTAAGACTGACCTGAGAACTTTGGCTCTTCTGAAAACTCTGCAGTACCATCACATTTTAAATCATCTTCACCATCATAATCCCTTTCCTTTAAAGGTCACCTGTTATGCAAAATCCACTTTTTCATGTATTTTATAAATAAACATGTATCCCCTCTAAGAGATTCTGAAAATTTCAGGAAAAAAGATTCGCTCACTTTTTGTCCTGATCCATTTATATAAAAACCTGTCTGAAAATTAGCTGATCAGATTTTGGCCACTTTATGATGTCATCTCTCTCTGTTAATGTTTTTCATCGTTTAGAGCAGGCAACCTCAAAGTCCGGACTCGGTCCGGATCCGGACCGAACCTCAACTTTCTCTGGACTCTGAGCAAATTATACTTTTCATATGTATTATCTGACCGTTTCTCAATCTCGAGGAAACTGGCTTCCAAGCCAATATTTCAAGGATGCTACATCATCGAGTGCCGCCGAAGGACTGTTCCAATCTCCATCATATTTGGAATTCCACCGAGGCCACGTCCTTGGTTTGGGGGTAATTTCGAGGCTGCACATGGGTAGACTTCACGTCCTTCAAATCCCCACAATGCTTTGCGCACGGACCAATTTCAAAAACCCTTGCGGAGAATGGC